GCAGACGGTCGGTCGAAGGGTTGAAAACAAAGAATAACAAGATCAAAAACCAAACAACCAGGGGCCTGTACAAATGGTTTTTGATCTTGTCTCTCCTTGTTTACAGCCCTTCGAAGGGCTGGCCGACCGTCTGCCGCCCTCCTTCCCCCTAGCACTGCCTCGTGGCACGCCGGCCGGCCGGCCGGCGGACTATGAAAGCAACCAATCAAATGTGCATCAACACAGTGCTTGAACGTGAAGGACCTGATGGAGAGTACTGTCTGCTTTTCGAAAGAAAAAAGCTTCTCATCCAAAATGTAAGGATCTTTAAGGATAGAAAGGGAAATATAGAGATTGTTGTACCAAAAGGAGAAAAAGAAGATTGATGGAGACCTTTAGCACTAAGGTCATCAACATGTGGAGCAACCAAGTGACTCCACGTAAACCTGGTTGGGTGCTGTACGTTATCGCAGCGGCATCGCACGACACCCGGCCGTTAGGTCTTCCCAGGGAGTCGCTGAAACTAGATCAGTTTCTTCTGAGTTAGTGCTAGGAGAGATAACTAAGGAAATATGCTGGACGGCAACTCAAGTATTTATATCTATTCATTTACAAAAATAGCGCTAAATGTTGGAATTTGAGGATCGTGCGTCAAAGCAGAAGAAATGGGCACAAGCTGGCAAAGCATTTAAGCTGTACGGTGCCGAAATTATGACACCAGAAGTCACAGAAATTTTTCAAAAGGCTGCAGACAAATTCATCGAGATAAGCACTGATTATCAGCAAGTTCGGCAAGAAATTGACGGAGGATTTCGTGTTCCATTGCATGAATTTAATCAGAAAGATGTGAAAAATCTCAAAGAAAACTTGAAGAAACTCGATACAGCTAAGAAATTACTGAATAATTCACGAAATAAATTGAAACGTAAGCCGGATGATCCTGAGCTGAAAATATCCGTTGACGTAGCCAAAGGTGTTCTGACTGAGTAAGTTTTTGAATGATTAATTGAATTTATTTCATTTTCGCCAGACAATTTTCTATGTTGACGGGTTTTGCCAGAGATGTATGCCAGTCTTTTGAAAGAGCCGGACTGATCTGACTCTACATACAAACCTCAAATCAGACTCGCTGTAGCATGGGGATTCTCCCATCCTGTTTGTAGATTCATAAACCAGTTAATGGAACCGGTGCTATTGCTCTGCCTGGCGTAACTGTACCCAAACAAGGAGGGAGGGAAAGCTAGCCATGGATGAGGTTCGATCCCTGACCGGTGCACAAATGCTCAAAATATCTGCCACTGTAACCCAATATTTCCCTTCATTTCTCGGCAGTTGTGAATTACGGTAGGATGGCCCGGGCTATGCTGGTCTCATTCCTTTGAGAAAATCGTAGGAACGAGGCTTCGAACTGGTTTTGGTGATTTCGGTATAGAATCCCATTTCACATTAGAGCTATACCAGACGCGTCCCTCTGAGGGTTGAGAGGGGCAAGTGGGAAGAAGATGAACGCAGCACCTAGCACCAAGCAACGATCAGGGACAGACCAATGGTCATAAGGGATTTTTACAATGAGAATCGTAGTTAAGTTTCTATTTCGTTCAGACAACTAAAATCAGCAAGGGAAGCAGTGTCAGAATTCCAGAAAGCCACAGCATTCTTCCAAGAGATCGCTTTGGCTTTTATATCGACGGAAAAGGAGATCAATGAGAAAGCGCATCGAGCTATTACGGATATCGTTTACTCCAATAAATCTACCGATTAATAATCAAACAGTTGATGATGATAGTCTTAACTGGATCGTATTCAAAGTGCGCATTCCTCAAAAGGAATAGTGATAAACTGAGAGAGATTCGCTCCACCAACATTGCTCTGTTAAATTATCACATAAGTAGCCGAAATCAAAGCCGAATTTTAGCATGCGGCATCATAAAAAGGAAATCTTTTGTTAAAATTGCTCATGAGCTGGATTCACATTTGAAGACCGACGTTCTCAATGTGTATTGTCGAAAAGTTGGTGCTGCTGTCCATCGGGGGGAGAACGAGAACAAGAAAAGGGCGAAACGGCAGATTACGGAGGCTGAACCTTTGTCGAAATTTCCTATGCGAATGGCATCCTCGCTGGCACAGCTGGATGACAATTGGTGTATAGATACCTCAGCTCCTTATGGGAGCAGAATTTTAGAATCAAAATTTTGCCTTCACTAACAATTTTCTCCATCACTGAAACCATTGACGAGTGCTACAGAGGCTGCTTTCATAGTCCGCCGGCCGGTCCGCGAGCGCGCGAGCGAGCGAGCGATTGGAGAGTCGCTTGCCGCTTGTTTACAACTGCATGTTGATCGATACCGCCGGACGAGTAGTACTCCAGCTGGCTCGCACGCTCGCGTACTATGAAAGCAGCGAGAGTGGAATGCACAAGGAAGCATCTTCCGCCGCCTGCGTGCAGCTGCGTGACTGTTTTAGTTATGTGCCTATTATTTTTCTGCCATTGGAGCGTAGTGTAGTTTGCGCACCGCCATTTTCAAGAAAGCACCACGTGACCCACCAGCTGCCCCCTCTCCCAACAGCCCCGCGTCCTTGTCCAAAGTCACTTTTCCATGCATCGTAAATGTGGCGGGTAGAAATTTGTATTTCAGCAACGTTCTGCCGTGAAATGAAATATATTGTCTACAGAGATTCTGCAGAATTCGCAGGATGCTTTATGATGCCTTTCGCTTTGTACCGCCACTCGAAACCGTTTGCCAGTTTGGGGTAGCTATCAACTGTTGGCAAAACACATCTGGGTTTGCGCTCTGAGCCCAAAATGACTTGATGCAGATGAGAAGGCGCAAGGAATGACTCATGTGACATGGCCAGCGCACAGAGTTAAGCAAAATGAGGGAGATGAAAAAAAGTTGAACGCTAAGAACGTTCATGATAAAATACCGTGTTCATTGGCAAATGGTTTTGAAGCGAATCCTGGTGCAGCCTTGCGATGGTTCATTCCCAAGTGAGTAAACTTTGTCCCATCCCTGCATCGATAACAAGATTTGCACGCTGCCTCTCAGCACTTGGAAAATCAGCCCAGTGGAGTAGTTAGTACTGGAGACGTAAACAAAGCAAAGTTCCCGTAAAGCTAGATGTTGAGGAGAAGGGCAGGGGTGAGGGTGGGGACGTAAAATTCTACAAAACTATCAAAAGCAGGTGATCCACAACTTTGAAAAGGAAAGGGAAAAGTAGCGAATTCGATTTATTCGCCGATTTCTACAGTCCCACCGTGAAAGTTGCAAACCTATCTAATCGTGAGTTCAGCAACATTCATTCTCACAATATTCGTCTAATCATATATACCACGTTTCGATTGATGTTTATTACAAACATTAAATTGTAAGATACCATAATACGCCACACTAGGGTACTACTGCGTTGCATTCTTAAAAATATCGTCTTTAACGTCAGCCAATGTTTCATATTGCGGATCCTTTGCATCGGCTTTTTGCACCTGAACATTTGCCAACTTTGCTATTTTGTGTATAGGTAAATGTCTCACTTAAACCTACTCCTAACAAACCTTTTCAGGTGGTTTGAACGCAATCTTCGCTGTCGATTCCTCCTTTACCTCTTCTTTTGGCTCTTCTTCCACTTTTTCAGCCCCTTCGCCGCGGAATAGCTCATTACCAATTCCACGCAGTGTCTCAAAAATGACATAGGCATAAGAACTTTTTTCTAAGCTCAGATCGAGGCCATTGTGGTCAGCGCATCGAAACCTGATCAATTTACCGTGCCAGGACTTTTCTCATTTTAAATATATAAATTATGGAGGGTCCTGGCGCGATCGACCAACAGAGTTTCGATGATCGGACGCATGACCGATCAGTGGTGTTGCTTATATCCATTCTCAGTAACGGTTCCGAAATCTCCAGCTTCTCTCTTGCTTTGGCCTCGGCATAGGTGTTTATGATGAAAATATTCTTGTGCTCTGTGAGGTTCTTAGATGGAACAATTTATTAAATCAACGACCTATGTACGATTCGACGCTTCTTCGTCTTCGTCTTCTTCAGAGGCCAAGGCACCCAAGCGGACACGAAAGTTCCCCTGTCGCTTCAGGCTACTGCCAGTAGATTGAATAAATTGTTCCACCTGATAATCTCGCACGGCCAAGAATATTCCAACCCGTAACGTAGTGTTTTTGCGTTGGCTGGCGCATTAGCCCTGCGTTTTCTTCATAATCGATGCGACGACGAGACTCACGGCGTGCACCACGTGGGTTTTTGAGCGACTCGCAAAGTATGTGCTCTTCGAACTTTATTCAAATTCTGGAGTGGTTTTGGACCAAAACGTGGGCGCGTAGAGGCAAAGAGGCGTGCTGCACCATGCGCAACATGCGGTACGCAACGGGTTAGTCATGAAGTATCGTATCGAAATCCACTCGTTCGCTTCGTGCTTTTGCCTAATTCTAAACCTTTTACGATACGTATGCTGTGTCTGGGCTGTTGGTGCAGAATTGCAGACAGCTAATGAGTACTTATAAAGAGCTCATAAAGACCTATACCATTTTTGAATACTTGCTAGATTGGTACTAGGATGCCATTGATCCAAAAAAAGGTACAATAAAATCCTTTAGGATCGAATTCTAGAGACCTTATTCAAAGGCACATTTTATGTGAAAATAGTTGCTGTGGCCATGATAGCACATGGAACGCCTTTAAGTGTGAAAATGACTGGGAAGGTCGCAATTAGGGACCCAGAGGGGCTTGGTCAACATTCACACACAAAAGTGACCGTGTTATGGCGGTTTTTTAAGGGCTGCACCATTCACAATGGAGCACAAATGGTGGGAATTCAACAATTAGTCACGTCCCATGCCGACAGTTTGAGAATTTTCTGTCATTTTTGGCTTATTGTTGGCAGCTCTATATAATGGTATACCATTAACAGCCTGACTGAATATCCCTTTGCACCTTTGCACTGTTCTACTCCATAACTTTCACTTTTTCATCACAGTGGATAACTCAGAACTATAGTGAACTCTTCCTTCAAATCTCTAATTCTGAAATTCTGCTGAAGTTGCTCACCTCATACTGTGGATCTTTTGCATCTGCTTTTGTAATATTTGGTGGTGGTTTGAACTTCTTTTTACCCTGGTTCTCTTCTTCAGCAGGTGCATCCTTTTTCGTCTTCTCGCCGGCCTGATTCGTTTGATGGTGTTTCACTCGGTGTAGTTACTTACTAATGATTGTGTAAAGTTTCCAATTCCTGGGGGATTTAATAGTCTCGGAAGAAGCTCAGACTCT